CTCCCTCACGCTGACTGAAACCCCTAGCCACGTAGCGCGCCTTTAACACAGGCGGTGAACCAGGCGGCCGCTTCACCTTGAAGAGCCACATGCCATCGACTACGTTCGCCCTGGGAGGGGGAACTGCGTCGACGTAGGTGCCTGTGGATCTCCAAGACGCTAACTCCGAGGCCATAGCCGCTTTCCACTGAGAGGCCCACGCCCCTGACACTGCCTCGCGGTAAGTGCGAGGAGTCGGTATGTCGAGGGCGTCGGGGTCTCCCTCAGGGGATAGCAGCATGGCACAGACAGAGGGAGAAGCAGCTGCCCAGTCCTCCAGCTCAGACTCTCTGTCCTCTAGGACGTCACAGCCAAGGGCAAACCCACCCCCGACGGACAGAGGACGGGAGGGAGGAGCTGGCACCACACGGGTTGTGTAGTCAAGGCGACTGGCGGCAGCAAACTCAGCGACAGCGGCAGTGAGAGCCGAGACAGACGACGGAGGGAAACGAGAGTCAGTGACAAGAGTGGCGAGGACACGAGAGACAACAGGACGAACAGCGCGGTAGTAGTCAGTGACAGGAGTAGGGGGGAAAGGGAGAGAGGACGGAGGCGGAGACGGGAGAACGGACTCAGGAGGAGGACGACGAAGAGACGAACAAAGGAGGGCAGTGTGGAGGTCGGTAACGGGAGACGAGTGACGAGCACGCGGAGGACAGGGACGAACACGAGAGTGCGGGACACCAGGTGGAGGAGACTGCGGTGGAGGAGAAGACCAGACCGCCGGACTGGCGTCAGGAGGAGGAAACGTGGGACCAAACACTGGGGGGGACGGAGTGTGAACAGGAGGAGAGGAGGGAAGACCAAGGGCCCGAAGGCCACTCACGAGTGGGAACAACTGCCGCTCCAGAGGGACCTGCTGTGGTCGCAGCTGCGGCGGCGGTGTCTGCTGCTGCTGCTGCTGTTGCGGCTGCTGCTGCCGCTGCTGCTCCAGCAGGTCCAACTGCCGCAACTCCTGCCGCTCCCTCTCCAACAGCACCTGCTCCTCACGCTCACGCCGACGGGCCGCCTGGAGACGCGTGTCGTGGCGATGGGGAGGTGGAGTGGACTCCGCAGAACCAGTGTCTCCAGCTCCAGGCTCCTCAGAACCAGCACCTCCAGTGCCAGCGCCTTTAGCACTAGCACCCCCAGCTCCAGCACCCCCAGTGCCAGCACCTCCAGCACCGGCACCCCCAGAACTAGCACCTCCAGTGCCAGCACCCCCAACTCCATCACCCCCAGAGCTAGCGCCACCTGCGCGAGCACCTCCAGCTCCAGCACCCCCCCAACGAGCACCCCCTGACCGAACACCGCCAGCAGCTGCACCTCCAGCTCCAACACCAACCGAGTCCACAAGAACCTATCGCGGAAGTGCCGAAGGCTGCTGAGGGGACTGTGAGGAGGACTGCGGGGAGGGAGACGCTACCTGACGCGCGACTGAGGGTAGAGGGGTAGCGTGGGACACACCAGACGGGGCAGGACCAGGGGGGGGCGGGGGTACCGGAGGAGCGGGAGCAGGAGGAGGAGAGGGTGCGAAGAAGAGGGGGGGAGGGGGAACCGGGAGACCTCGACAGGGGTACCGGGTGTAGTAGGACACGGACTCGTCAAACCGGACGTCACGGGAGTCTAGGATCTGGTGGAGGGGAGGTTGGTAAAAGGGCAGAGTCCACTGGGAAACCAAGGAAGACACAGGGGACGGCGCGTGCCGAGAGCTTGTCCGCGGAGGTGTCGCGAACAAGCGCAAGGCAGCCCCAGACACGAAAGACCGAACCAACACCAGGGGACCCGGTCCAAAGACTGGTCGGTGAAGCCTCAGGTCGTGAGACGCGCGGCTGGAGGTTCAGCTAGTGTGCGGCGTAGCGAACCGCGTAGGGCCACAGAAAATGGGGCGCACGGGCATGGATCATGGACGTGCGAGCAATGTCCATGACCAAGCCAATGCGGCGCTCAGCAACCCCATTCTGCTGTGGGGACTCCGGAAGCGTCCAGGACTGTACGATGCCCTGTTCGCCGCAGAATCCGCCAAGAATGCCGGAGCGAAACTCGCCCCCACGGTCGGAGTGTAGACAACTGACACGACGACCACGAGTGCCCTCAGTGGCCAGAAGCCACCGGATCAGCGTAGCAGTCACCTCAGACTTCTTCGCGAGAGGGAACACTGTGGTGTACCTGGAGAAGTCGTCGACGACCACCAGAAAGTAACGCTCCCTCCCCGAACCCTGCGTCGGGGCAGGGCCCCAGACGTCCAAGTGGAGGGTCTCGAAGGGAGCAGTGGCCGGACGAAGGGAGGAGGAGTGGGGAGTGGCGCGTAAGCGACCAGCGACGCAAGGAGTGCAAGGGGGAGCAGGGGAGGTGGGGAGCGACGGAAAGGTGCGTGGGAGACCGGTGACAAGCCCGTGAGTGGTCATCCCGCGGAGGCGGGGGATCGACGGGTGGCCAAGGCGGTGATGCCACAAGACGGTCCGATGGGTGAGGGACCGACAGGAGCAGGACGCAGCGACTGGACTAGACAGCGCGACCTGATTAGACACTGCAACTGGACAAGACACGACCACCTGGCTAGACACAGCAACCGGACGGGACACCTGGACTGGAGGGGACGCAACGACCTGAGCGGGGGACGCAACCTGGGAGCGCTCGGTGTGGAGAACGTAGAGACCGGAGTGGGGCTCCCTGGTGAACGTGGCCAGAACAGCACCTGTGGCAGCGTCTGTACAGACCGCAGTCCTCCCACCCCCCACAAAGGTAACCGTGATCCCCCTTTCCTGGAGGTAACCAACACCCACCAAGTTTCGAGTGAACGAGGGGATGTGGAGGCCGCGCAGGACACCAGAGGGGACCACAGGACACGGGAGGGTAGTGGAGCTACGTGCAACGGCTGGTCCTGAGGTAGGATCAGCCAGAGCCACCGAAACAGGAGTGAGGAGTGGCGTGAGGGTCGTGTGGTCGCGGAAGAAGCACTGAGACGCACCAGAGTCCAGCGTGAAGGACAGGGACGCCTCAGCCGGAGGGTCACCCGCCCTAGTGGCTACACAAGCACCTAGAGCAGCAACACAAGCACCTAGACTGAAAGGCACAAGTCTACACTAGCAGGTGGCAAGCAAGCTAATCTAGGAACACGCGAGCACACAGATCCATCAGCACTATAGTCAACATCAGTATACAAAGCATGCTGACGAGCATCGTCCATGGACAGATCAAACACATCAATCTTACGGGCTAACAGGCGAGCCCAGCGAGGCGTGGTCGCCGTAGGGCCCCAACGAGCACGGTAGAGGTCGTCGAGGCGGCGGAAGCACCGCGCGGCAGAGTGGTCGTCACGACCGCAGAGACAGGGGCTGCCAGGTCCGGTGAGGCACCAGTGGGTGCAGGGGCCAGTGTCACGGCGAGGGGAGCCACGGGCTCGGGCGCGGGCTAGGCGCGGTCTAAAGCGCCAGGCGTGGGCGAAGGAGAGGGCGCACGGCTCAGGCCCGGGATGGAGGGTGCGAGAGGGGCGGAGGCGTGCTAGGCGGGCGGAGGCTCCGCGACGAGCTAAGGGCAGGGCGCACGGGGCCCGCGACGAGCTAAGGGCAGGGCGCACGGGGCCCGCGACGAGCTAAGGCCGGGCACACGGGGCCCGCGACGAGCTAAGGGCGGAGGCACGAGATGGAGGGCGCGTTTCGGAGGGCGCGGAGGGCGCGTTTCAGAGGGCGCGGAGGGCGCGGAGGTTTCGTTTCGGAGGGCGCGGAGGGCGCGAAAACGAGGCCCGCGGGGGGCTGTCCTACCCGCGACGAAACGGGGCCTAAGGGACGGGCGCCTCGGGACCGGCTAAGGGAGGGAGCGGAAGCGTGGGAGGGAGGAAAATTGCCTACTCTAATACCATCTAGGAACAAGTGTCGAGAGAATAGTGTGAGTGAGTAGGAACAATGGGATACAAGTCGACCTAGAGAATGTTGTACCCTTTAGAGGGCAACTCACTGTAGCCTAGATAACTAACATCTATAACATATAAACATTTGACAGGTTTTACTGTTTCAAAAATCACTACACTTTCTGGCATATGGTATAAATCCCACTACCCTTCCTGGGAAAGGGTGACTGAAAAAAAGTGGCCGCCAGGAAGGGCAAAAAGGGCATTTTGCCCTGATATTTTGAGCCCTGTATGAGGGATCACCCTGAAAGGCAAACAACAACCAAAAAGCACCCAACTGGTACCAACGACCGAGTGACTCAGTGCACCGCTGATGCTTCTAAAAGGCTTAGATGCTGACACCAGGCTTGTTTGCCCCTGCTGCCTCTCACTCCCCACCCCACCCCGTCAAGATCTCCACCACCCGTTCCCACCATAAAACCCTGCTGGACTCTCCACTGGCGTTGATCTCTTTGGCGGAATATCTTCATGGTCTCCTGCAGGCCAAAAAGACAAACAAAACTACTGGTAGAGCAGGGGCAGAGGGAAAATACGGGTGTTAGAAGGGGGTGTGTAGTGAAGAGGGTGGTGAATTGATGGTGTGTTGTTTGAATGGAGATATGTGCAGGGGGAAGGAAGAAACGGGGCGCATCGTCTGTACAGAGGTAGGGAGAAACGGGCTGTGTGTGAGGGAGGTGTATGCAGGTGGGATGGGATGAGCGTACCTAGTGTGCAGCATGGTATCTGCATGGCGGAGTGGCTCACAGAGTGACTTTTAAGAAGTCTCAAAGTGGCTCAGGGAGTGCATGGTGGGGAGGGAGGGGTGGGGAGGGAGGGGTACGTAGGGGTGGAATGTGCTGACTTGACCGTCAACTGTTTTCACTGACTTGACCGTTCCTTTGATTTCCCTCCTGTCCATACCCTATCCTCCCTTCCCTTCGCTCCTCATGCTTTCCACTTCCTACCATCTCCTTCCATTCGCCTTCCATCCCTTACCACTCACCTCCTCCGTTCCAGTTTCTTCTCAAGACCTCCTTATATTCAATTAGACTTACAGTACTACTCTTTAATTACCTTTACCCTGGCCTGGGCCATGATCCTAGGTACCGTATTCCGCTCATATCCTCTCCCTTCCCACCAGCCATTCATCTCGCAATCCCCATGCCGCCCATCCCTCAGTCTCCCAGTGTTCACAACTCACCTCCCCTGCCCTTGGCCGCATTCCCCCTCAGCTCTCCCCTCATTGCACCAGCCATTCCCCCTCCACTCATCCCTCATTCCCTTGGCGTTTATCCCTCTTGCCCTCTGCGCTCATCCGTCTTCCTTCTTTCCCCCTGTTCTCCCCTCTTTCCCCCTGTTCTCCCCTCTTTCCCCCTGTTCTCCCCTCTTTCCCCCTGTTCTCCCCTCTTTCCCCATGCGCTCCCCTCTTTCCCCCTGCGCTCCCCTCTTTCCCCCTGCGCTCCCCTCTTTCCCCCTGCGCTCCCCTCTTTCCCCTACGCTCCCCTCTTTCCCCTACGCTCCCCTCTTTCCCCTACGCTCCCCTCTTTCCCCCTACGCTCCCCTCTTTCCCCCTACGCTCCCCTCTTTCCCCCTACGCTCCCCTCTTTCCCCCTACACTCCCCTCTTTCCCCCTACGCTCCCCTCTTTCCCCCTACGCTCCCCTCTTTCCCCCTACGCTCCCCTCTTTCCCCCTACGCTCCCCCCTTTCCCCCTACGCTCCCCCCTTTCCCCCTACGCTCCCCTCTTTCCCCCTACGCTCCCCTCTTTCCCCCTACGCTCCCCTCTTTCCCCCTACGCTCCCCTCTTTCCCCCTACGCTCCCCTCTTTCCCCCTACGCTCCCCTCTTTCCCCCTACGCTCCCCTCTTTCCCCCTACGCTCCCCTCTTTCCCCCTACGCTCCCCTCTTTCCCCCTACGCTCCCCTCTTTCCCCCTACGCTCCCCTCTTTCCCCCTACGCTCCCCTCTTTCCCCCTACGCTCCCCTCTTTCCCCCTACGCTCCCCTCTTTCCCCCTACGCTCCCCTCTTTCCCGCTACGCTCCCCTCTTTTCCCCTACGCTCCCCTCTTTCCCCCTACGCTCCCCTCTTTCCCCATACGCTCCCCTCTTCCCCCGTGCACACAACCATTCTCCCTGCGTTTACCAATCATTCCCCAGGCTAATGCCTGGGGAACACTGATTCCCCGCCCGCTCATCTCTCATGAACAATGAGCTCGCGCGTTTTCCCCTCTGCTCTCACTCTGATTAATATCAGCTCACCCGTCATTCCCCCCCCACTATGGCTCATAACCCCCGCTATCGCGCGTTTCCCCACCCCCTTCATTCTGCAGCCCTCTGCGCTCACACATTGTCCCCCCTCAACACATTTTCCACCCTGCGCTCACATTGTCCCCCCTCTCACACATTTTCCCCCCTGCGCTCACACATTTTCCCCCCTGCGCTCACACATTATCCCCCCTGCGTGCACCAATCATTTATAGCATGCGGTCATTCGCGAGACGAGATATGAGACCAGGACAATATCCATTCAAAATTTGAGCACATTCCCTTCGCAGGCATTATCCTGTTCAGGTGGTAAGGGTATACTCTCAGCCATAGGGAGCTCTAGTCTCCCGAGGCACCCCCAGTGCTTCAGTCTATGTAAAACAAGCTAAGAGGCACACATTTACACAGACCATGCACTTCCCTTCGCAGGCATTACCCTGGTCAGGTGGTAAGGGTGTGTTCTCAGCCTTCCCGAGCCCCGGGCTAGGCACCCCTAGTGCTGGTTGACAGACAAGAAAACTCAAGCAGAAGCGGGGGTGTCATCGGAAGAGGCAAGCACAAGCTCGGGACGAGCGGACAGATCAGAGACGGCACCGTCAACCTCGTTGGGGAGGCCGAGGGCCTTGAGGGCCAGGTGCGCCGCCTTCTGCCCGGACACCATCATCGCCCCGAAGGTAGGACCCTGTGCACACAACAAGAAACACACGAACAAAAACAGGGGGGAAAGACAGGAGCACACCAACGCACCACCAGAGCGATCCGGCGTCCCGAAGGGAAAGAATTAGAATCTGAAACACTCGTGAAATTGACGGCTAAGATTGAGATCCGTACCATGCGGGGAGCGCCGTCCACCTCGGCGACCTCCATGCCGGTGACAATCATCCCAGGGACCACCTCGCGCGTGTGACGGACGATGGCATCCTCGGCGATGTTCATGTCCAGGCACTTCATGCCGGGGACCTTGTCAATCAACCCGATGCTCTTGAGCCTCTTCACGCCGGTGGCGCCGAAGGGCCCGTCGTGGCCGCACGAGGAGACGACGACCTTGGCCTCCATGACGTTGGGGTCCATGCAGCTCTGCGTGTCGTGGTTCATCGACACCAGCGCCCAGTTCGTCACCACGCCGCCCACCTGCACGCCCGAGAAAGACCAACCGAAAAGGGGTTGCAGTAAGTATAATGTTACGGGTGGAAAGATTCCAAGCAAATGGATGCGGGTTGCAAAATGCCGGAATGATAAAAACGTAGCGACAATTTCAAAATGGATGTAGATTAATGACAGTTCCGGGACTTACGCGGCCGTTCTTGATGATGAGATCCTCGGCGCACACGGCGTTGAAGAGCTTCACGTTGGGGCGGGCGAGCAGCTTGCTCATGATGGTCGACGTGAAAAGCGCCGCGTGCTTAATCACCACGTAGTCCTCCTCCTCGTCGTACGCGATCTCGAGCTCATCGAGGAAGCGGTGCGCGGGCTTGCGGACCACCATGGCGGAGAAGAGCTGCCCGCCGAGCCACGCGCCACCGCCCGGGCTCACGGACTGCTCGATGATGGCCACGTTCACGTTGGGGTTCTTGCTCAGCTCGTACGCGCACGACAGGCCCGCGGACCCGGCGCCGACGACGACGACATCGGTGTCGGCGTACGTGATCATGTCGGTCATGTAGCGACGCGTCATCTCGCGCGCGACGATCGACTCCTTGATCGGCTGGAACTTGAAGTTCTGGAAGTTGTACGCCGAGTCCTGGTACATGGCGGAGACGGCCGGCGCGGCGCGGAGAGCCTTGGCCTTGGAGGGAGCAACAGAGACGGAGTTCCCGAGAAGCTCCGACTTGCGGAGGGCAACGGCACCCTTGAGGGTGGTCGCGGAGAGGGTGGAGGCCGTGGCGCAAGCCATGATGGTAGACGAGCAAGAAGCCGAGGGGATTCCTGAGAGTGATCGAGAGAGCAGGAAGAATCAGCTCAGCAGAACAGACTGAATTTTGATCGGGCAACAGCTCTGCTCTTATCTTGGCTCGAGCTGCGAGCATCAGCAGGAAGCAGGATGTGAGTCTTGGTGGAAGCGGGGAAGGGAATGCGGGGGGAGGCGGGAGGAGATGCTATCGGCGGAAGCTAAGGAGCAGGGGGGAGGGGGGAAGAGGAACACGGAAACTGGGGGAAATTTGGGGGGAAGCACGAATGTTGCAACAGGCGGATTATGACAAGGCAGGCTTGCAGGCAGTGTTTCCGACGCGATGGTCCCCTGTCCCTTGGATTGAGCCTCGTGGGCCTCGCCATCTCTTTTGGTCGCTTTGCTTTGTCGACAAAGCGAATCTCGCCAGAGGAACGCTGCCACGTTGGAATCAAGAGGCATCCAAACCGTAGCCTACTCATCGGCGATGTCGTCCGTGATTGGAACATGCACCTAGTGATGCCATGTCAGAGGTATGAGCTGCTTTGTTTTGTATCGAGCTGTGAAGTATCTTCAGTAGTACATTTTGTCTTCCACTGTAGGGGTTCAGCAGAAACACCAACAATGAATGAAAGCATTTGAAGGGACAACTATTTAGACTCAAAATGGCCGAACCATGGCCGATTCCAATCTTGCTCATGTTTTAGTGACTGCTGAATTATGCACATCCCATGTCGTCTTGCATTGAACTCAAATGCTAATGATCAGTTTACAGATTCACATTTTATGTCATCGCATTCAACTCGCTTCGTGCAGGGCTGATTTTATCAGGGCAATTACCCTGATTTCAGGGTGATTACAGGCTTCTCACCTGGTGGTCCCTGCAATTTCAGAATTTCTGACTTGTGAACTCTGATCCATTGAGAATAATGCTTTAGCGAACCCTGAAATATTGTATCTAGGCTCAGAGTAGTGTTCTTACTGACTCTGTCAATGTAGAGTACGCGTTCTGTTGACCCTGAATGCGAGGGTATCGAGACGAAGTTTCCTGGAAATTTCCTCTCGATAACCCCCTATGTGCGTAATCATGATTTCCCCTTTACCGATGTAGGGGAGCCCTTTCTGTACGGTAATACCGACAAGTAACACCCGACAACGTGGGGTGGATGTTTGGGGGGGAAGGAGGGGTGGGGTAGATGTTTGTGGTGTCGTGCGAGGCGCAGTGTGCTGCGGGGATTTTCGGCAGAACACCTCTGACGCAGCAGATCTGCTGTGTCAGAGCGAATCTCTTATCCTTGGCTCTGTTCGGCAGCAGAAATGCACGTTTTTGGGGAGCGAGGTTCGGAGGAGCCTTGGGGCAGGTTAGCCCAAAAGCAACTTGCTGGTCTGACACCGTGGCGACACCTCAGCAGAATCTAAGGGGTTGCCGCAGTGTGCGTGCAAAAGACACAGAAGTTTGACCAAGTTGGTGGACCCCAACGGCCAAGATTAGCCGGTGAGAACGATCGCGGTCAAAGTAAAAACAAATTACGTTGACACTGGGCAGGATTTGGATGGGTGACTCGTGGTTTAGATGATTATCTGCCCGTTAGAAAAATTGTACGAAATGGTGTCGAATTGTGTTGGGATCATGCGGAGTGAAACTTCTTTCCCCGTTAAACACAGAGCGCATTACTACATTGATGTTCAATTCTCGACCCTGAGCAATTAGAGTTAAATACTTTTCAACACTGAGCAATCAGAGTAGCCTACCTGTGGAAAATATGCACCCATAACACAAGGGGGAAATTTTTCCCCGGAATCAGGGAGGCTTAAAATGAAACGTCAGCCCTGGCTTCGTGTCAATTTCCAACGAACTTGAATCTTTCACCAACGATTGCCAGACTAGTAGTTCGGTTGCTTCCAAAGTTCCTCTTATTGGTTTACTTGGCAAAGCGGGAACCAAAATGGAATGGATGATTATCATAAGGGTGACAATATATGGATGAGAAGAAGAACCACAAGAAATTGCAAGCAAGTAGAATACGGAGAAACATTCACATGCATGTACAAGAACATTGTACCTAAGTACTCATAAGTTTTAGAAGCACTCATTTTTAGCAGAAAGTGCATGGCATACCTGAATGGCTCGTTTGGGCGATGCAACAGCTCTTGTTGGGCCCAACGTGCGAACAATCTGGCGAGAATAAGGACAATGAGAGGATGATGAGAGGTTGTTGAGAGGCCAATGAGAGGATCATGAGATGATGATGAGAGGATCATGAGAGGATCATGAGAGGATCATGAGAGGATCATGAGAGGATGATTAGAGTGTCATGGGAGGTTTTTTTTTTTTTTTTTTTTTTTTTTTTAGTGAAAGCTTATACAAAAGCACAAGCAAAACACTACAGTCGTAACTGTGTGTCATGGGAGGTTGATGAGAGGATGATGAGAGGATGATGAGAGGATGATGGGAAGATGATGAGGATGATGAGGTGATGAGAAAAGGATGATGAGGGGATTGTCAGATTTATACGACATAACTACTGTAGGCTATAGTGGGGTAGCACATATGGGGTACAGTTTTCTAGGGTTTACATTTGTACCCAACTTTCCCTTAGTCAATTCATTCTCGTTCAGTTTCTCATGGTATCGAGCAGGTTCCCCTGTGGGAACTGTTCCTAGGGCCCACCACATTTTTTTTCCTGCCCGGAGCGCGCTCTACACTGCCCGAGTCGCGCTCCCCTCTCTCGACCCTGTCGCGCCGCCTTAGCGGCCCCGTCGCGTCGCGCCTGCGGCCCCGTCGCGTCGCCCTCGCGGCCCCTGCACGTCGCGCCGCCCTAGCGGCCGCGTCGCGCCGCCCTCGCGGCCCCTATCCGCCGCCCTCGCGGCTCCTTCGTGTCGCGCCGCCTCGCGGCCCTTTCACGCCGCCCTCGCGGCCCTTTCTAGCCGCCCTCGCGGCCTCTTCAAGCCGCCCTCGCGACCCCCCCCCTCCTAGCCGTCCTCGCGGCCCCGTCGCCTACCCCTGCGGCCCCGGCGCCGCCCTTCCCTGCCTCGGCGCCGCCTCTGCTGGCCCCGTAGCCTACCCCTGCGGCCCCGGAGCTGCCCTTCCCGGCCCCGGAGCTGCGCTTCCCGGCCCCAGCGCCGCCTCTACTGGCCCCGACGCCGCTCCACCCGGCCCCGACGCCGCTCCACTCAGCCCCGCCGCCGCTCCACCCGGCCCCGCCGCCGCCCCACGCGGCCCCGCCGTCACCACCGAGCCGCCGGCGCCGCCGAGCTACTGCCGAGCCGCCCGATCCACCAGAGCCGCCCGAGCCGCCGCGCCACCTGAGCCGCCCGAGCCGCCGGGTCGCCGAGCCGCCGAGCTGCAGTTGCTGCCGAGCCGCCGTACCGCCGAGCCGCCCGAGCCGCCCAAGCCGCCGAGTCGCCGAACCGCAGTTGCTGCCGAGCCGCCGTACCGCCGAGCCGCCCGAGCCGCCCGAGCCGCCGAGTTGCCGACCCGCCGAGCCGCTCGAGCCGCCCTGTCCGGTAAGAGCAGCGCCTCTGTCACTGCACTGCCCTTACCCTACTGTTCGCGCTGCTAGTCTACTCCTGTCATGGCTACCCCTAGTGTCCTCGCTTTTGACGCTGAGGGTCGGGCTATTGACTTTGACGTCTGGGTAGATGACCTGCAGCTTTTCCTACAGTGCGATAGGGCAGACGGTCTCTCCCTCTTTGACCTCACCTCTGGTGCCTCTCCTGCCCCTGCTGCTGATGCCGACGCCACTGTTCGCTCACAGTGGGCCACACGCGATGCTGCTGCACGTCTTGCTGTGCGTCGCCACCTGCCTACCTCTGAGCGTGCGCACTTTAGCCAGTACAAGAGTGCTCACACCTTGTACGACGCTGTAGTTGCGCGCTACTCCTCCCCTGCCACTGCTGCACTGAGCCGCCTCATGCTACCGTACCTCTTCCCTGACCTTGCTGCCTTTCCCACAGTCGTTGACCTCATTACGCACCTCCGCACTAGTGACACTCGCTACCGCGCTGCGCTTCCTGCTGAATTCTGCGCCAAGAACCCCCCCCCCATGTACATCACCCTCTACTACATAGTCACCCGGCTCCCTGACTCCCTTCGCGTAGTCAGGGACCACTTCCTCTCAGTTTGCCCCACCACTCTCACCGTTGACCTCCTCGAGAAGGCCCTCCTAGCAGCAGAGAAGAGCATAGTCGCTGTAGGAGCCTCTCGTGGTGACCCTCGCACCCCCGTCTTTGAGGGGTGTTCCCCCTCCCCCCTTTTGCCCTCTGTTGCCTCTGCTGCTGCGGCCGACCTCGTTGGTTTCGAGTCGGTCGGCGCTGCGTCTGCCCCGAGCGGGAGACGCCGCACCGGCAAGGGCAAGGGGGGCAAGGGTGCTGGAGGGGCTGGCGGGGGTGGCGGAGGTGGCGGTGGCGGCAGTGGAGGGGGTGGGGGTGGTGGTGGGAGTGGTGGCGGGGGTGGAGGTGTCGGTGGCGGCAGTGGAGGCGGAGGCGGCGGCGGCGGTGGCGGTGGGAGCGGAGGTGGCGGAGGTGGCGGCGGTGGAGGAGGCGGCGGCGGAGGAGGTGGAGCTGGTCGGGGTGGCGCTGCGCGGAGGGTCGGCTCCGGTGGTGGTCAGCGCCAGCAGCAGCAGCAGCAGCGGCAGCAGCGCACTCGTGACATCCCCCCCCCTCAGCAGCTCCGTGAGTGGTACGCTGCACGCCAGCGGGGTGGGGGTACTGGTCCGTGCACCTACGTCCTACGCACCGGCGACCGCGCGGGTGAGCAGTGCGGGGGTGCGCACTCCACCCAGCGCTGCTTTGGCCGCCTGACGGACGCTTGGTGTCACCAGTTCCCTGAGGCCACTGAGATCCCCCGCTGGGGCGAGCTGTCTAGGGCGGGTGTAGCTGTCTTTGACCTTGACTTTGATGCTATTCTTGCTGCCATGTATGCTGTGACTATTAGTGATGAGGGTGACTGTTACCGGTGTTTTCCGCCCGACCCGGGCATTGAGACTGCTGCTCTAGGTACTGGTGAGGCTGCTGCTCTAGGTGCTAGCGAGGCTGCTGCTCTAGGTGCTCGTGCGTCTGCTCCCTCAGGTGCTGGTGAGTCTGCTCTCTCAGGTACTGCGTCGGCTTCGGCCTCCCACACCTTCACCCTTGACTCGGGGGCTTCTCGCTCCTTCTTTCGAGACCGCACCACACTCACGCCGCTTGGCCGGCCAGTTGCAGTCTCTCTGGCAGACCCCTCTGGGGGTCCTGTCCTTGCTCACTTCTCCACTGTCCTCCCGTGTCCGGCGGCCCCCTCTGGCACCCTGTCTGGTCTTTACCTCCCCTCGTTCTCTACGAACTTGGTGAGTGGTGCTGACCTACAGGATGCGGGGGTTCACCAGTTCACTCCTGCGAGTCAGCGGGTGACCCACTGCACGGACGCTCGGACAGGCCGACACCTGGCCACGTTTACACGTCGGCCGGGGTCGAGCCTGTACACACTGACCACTGCGTCTCCTCCAGTCACTGCGTCTGGTCAGGTAGCTGCGTCGGGTCAGGTGTTTGCTGCAGCGTCCAGGTCTGGTCCTGAGTCTGCCCCCTGTTCGTGTCGCCTCCTGTCGCACGAGACTCTCCTCTGGCACCACCGCCTTGGTCACCCCTCCCTGCTTCGTCTCCGAGGCATGGCCTCCCGTGTCCTTGTCTCTGGTCTTCCCCGGTCCCTCCCTCCCCTTCCTCCGG